TTTTCAAAACAACTGTGTGACAAGGTTTGAAAAGAAGTAATAGAATTTGCTTCCAAGTAAACTATGCTGGGAAACTTTCTCCTTTACTTGGTGGCTGGGGTGAGCTGAAGTCTAAGTTGCTTGTTTAGTCCTCTGGTCCTAGGACAGTGCTCAGGAGCCATTGTCCAGAAGGGGCAGTCAGGCTCCTCGGGTGGTGATTGCAAAAAGAAAACAAAAGGGTTTGTTTTATGTTTGTTTGTTTGTTTTTTGTTTTGTTTTGTTTTTACGAAGCAAACAGATGACTTAGTGCTATTGTTTTTGTAAACCAGCAAAAAACACTGCGGCAAAGTGCATCTACAATCCAGCTTGAGGAAAACTCTGGGTTCCTAATGCAGGTTCACAAATATAGCAACCATAATGAAATGGATGCTTTTTAATGATTTCCTATAATGGTGTTTATATATGGAAGCTTTTTACCCTATTGAAGCAATTTAATTGGAAAATGGCAAAGGAATAAGAGGGAGGCAGCCAGTTCCAATCAACAAACACGCTGACTCTACTCTGTGCTGCAGTTTAATGAGCTCTGCCAACTTCTCTCAATAGAAAACTCTCCCATACCTCACCACTCCCATTTAATCTGCAAGTCTCCACTCAGCCATTGGCTTCTGGGAAGTTTCCTCCCAGGATCCCACCTTGCAGGTCCTGACCCTGCTGTGGGTCTCTTCTATGGAAATATCCACATTCTCCAAAGACTTGTAACCATGGATAGCATCCATTGCTGCTCAGATTTCCGATGTGTCCTTGGGCATCATTAGATTGGCATACAAGGTCGTCAAAACGCCTGCCCTATGCAGTCTGCATTCTCATGTGAGATGACTGGCAACATGCAAGGAAATAAAAGCAAACCCAGCTTTTCTCCAGACAGTGCCAATTGCTAGGAAGGGGGTGATGGCTTGAAGAGTGATGCTGAAGACTTGAGAAGGGAACCAGAATAAGGAGAAAGCTTCACGTGTGTTGCAGCAAGGGGCACTCCCAGGAGAAGAGACAGCTCACACAAACCCTGGAAGGCAGAATCTGGTCAGGCTTGAGAGAATGTAAGAGATGGGGAATTCGATCAGGGCTGAGAGACAGAGAGGAGTAGAGAAGGAGTGAGGTGGCAGGAGCTCCGGGCTTCATGGTACCCCATGGTGAGGAGTCTGGATGCCAGCCCAGGTTTCAGAGGTTTGAATGTGGGAGTGCAGCCATCTGATGGCAGAATCTGCCTTTCTGGCCCAGTACCTAAGAGAGCACACAGTGAGTTTGTAAGATGACTAAATAGTACTCTGGGTAGGCAGAGAATGCACGCTGCCATTGGCAGAGGCCATGCCCTCACAGAGCTCGGTACTGCCAAGAAAGATTCTGCCAGTAGAGTTCACACACATTTCTGAGTGAGGTACAGGATGGAAGAAAGAATCTGGGATGAATGATGAGGGAAAATGGAGATGCCTCATCATGCAGACAGACAGCTGTGAGCTCCTGCCTTGGGGAATCAGTGTGACAGATGCCATGTCATGTCAGGCACTCTGAGACATCCCCCAGGAGAGGAGCCCATTGAAGTAGGTTTGTGCCTGCATTTCCCAAATTTAATTATGTGACTTTATCAGACTATGGGTCACCTATTAATTTCATAAAATGAAATTTGAGAGAAACAAATGTAGGGGTCAGTGTATGGCTGGTTCTCTGCAGTGACAGAGATCTGTTGGCTGTTAGAATTGGTTTGGCTGCCTATGGCTGTAATTGGAGTGTAGAATGAGAGGCTGCTGAGTCTAGACACTTACAACACTGATATGAACAGCCATGTGAGACCTTTGCCTAAGGGTTGACTGGTGGCAGATGGCTGTGTGTGTTACAACATCAAGTCTGGATGCTGGGTTCAAATATATTTGAGGGAGACAGCCTGGGCACAAAGCAAAGACCTGAACCCAGACCTCAGACTTTATCATCCAACTACTAAGCCTGAAGCAGTGTCTTCATTCTTGTGCTTACTGTTGTGTGGCTAAAGCTGGTCTCACTTAAGAGTATACTTCTCAATAAATGATGTAGCTAAATTCATCTTATGTGGCCTTCTCAGCATTTCAGATTGCTGAGCACTGATTTTTCCCATCAGATCTTAACACCAAGATCCACCTGACCTAAATTTCTTCCAACATCTTTGACAGACCGGCCAATAGCTTCATTCGTCCATTCCAATAGGATCTTTTAACACATGCCACAAGCCAGGCCCTAGACTAGGAGATGAAATACCACACAACTGGCAAATAGAGTTTAGTGGGCTAGTCAGGCAACATAGCAACAGGATCTACAATTTCAATATTCTATAAGAAGGAAAACATTACCACATCAACAAAGTCAGCACAGTCACTCATGCTCATACACTCTGGGATTTTCTGAGACTGTTAATTTACTCTGAAACTAATGGAAAGGCACACCCCTGCCTCAGATTCCTGATGTGTGCTGTTAACAGCTGGCCCTAAAAGCTCAGTCTCCAGCTGACTTCACTATCTGAACAACTTCTGCTGTTTTGATCACAACTTGATGTCTCCCAAAAAGTTTTCTGCACCCGAGACACTCTGTTTCACTTCTTAATCTCAATATCTACTGTGTTCTTAAGTGTCTCTAACCCAGATATCATAAGACACCTCCAGTTCATGCCCCACAAAAAGCAAATGATCTCCACCTGTCTCTATCTGAGAGTATATCACTTGGTCCTTCCCACCATGTTCCAACATTTGATGAATGGCCTCACCACCCATGCACTGTGCACACCAAAATCTGAGACATCCACATTCATATCTCTTTTTTTGTTTATCCTGCTTCCAGTTTATGGTGGATTGAAAGAAAATGACCCCCCAAAGGGAGTGGCACAATTAGGAGGTGTGACCTTGTTGGAGTAGTGTGTTTTTGTTGGAGTAAGTGTGTCACTGTGGAGGTGGGCTTTGAGGTCTCATATGCTTAAGCCATGCCCAGTCAATCAGTTCACTTCCTGTTGCCTGTAAGTCAAGATGTAGAACATTGGCTACTTCTCCAGCACCATGGCTGCCTGCATACCACCATGATAATGGACTGAACCTATAAACTATAAGCCACCCAATTAAATGTTTTCCTTTATAAGAATTTCCATGGTCATGGTGTCTCTTCACAACAACAGAAACCCCAACTAAGACATTGTTCTTAAGCAAATCTTTTTCAATTCTTACTTTTCCAAAACCCATCTTCTTTTCTACATATCAAATGTCACTATCCAATTCCTAGCAACAATCTGGCCCACCTAGACTTTTCTAATGGTTTCTTAACTAGTTTCCCCAACACACTCTTTTTGCTTTCCACACTACTGAGTGATTTACAATGCATTTGATCATCTCATGCCATTGTGGGATCATCTCCCACACTGTTAAATCTTTTAGCTGTAGGAAGCCGGTTCCTGCATTATAATGGTGCCTGAAGACACCAAGATGTAAATTACTTCACTGGCGCTGGGTAATCTCCATTCCTTTGATCTCTGCCTATCCCGTGGCTCATTTTTGCCTGAGGAGCTGAAGCCATTCATAGGGTAACACGTCCCAGGCGGCTGGTCAGCCTTTATAAGGGATGGTTCTCTTAATGCAGTGTCTCCGCTCAGTCTCCACTCTGGTAAGATGCATTAAAGCTTGCCTGCAGAAGGATCCGAGTGTCCCGTGTATGATTTCTTGCTGGCGAGAAATACAGAGCATGCGCGGGACATTTTAGCAGCTTCTTATTCCTTGGAGTAAAAATTCCAACATGTTCTACAAGATTCTGAATGATCTGGTTCCTACCTAACTCTCCAGCCTTCATCTTTACATCACAATGATTCTTCACCTTTCTGAATATATCCCCATCCTCACTAAACACCCTCATCTCCTCCTCAACCTGCTTAACTGACACAGATTCTTAGTTCACATGCTACTTTCTAGATCAAGGACTTCTTAGAACCTTAGACTGAATCAAACTTTTTGATATTCTCATGGTTCATGATGTTATAGCACTTACATGGATGTATAATTAAACTTATGTGCAATAGTCAATTTAAAAAAGTCGATTGCTTTCCAACTCAATATACATGAAATCATCCATCTCCTGGATCTTCCTCTACTGCTCACTATCTGTGAACATCTATTTCCAAAGACATGGAATGTTTTACTCTTCTGACTTCACACCCATTCAATCACAGAGCTCACTTTGGCTCAGACAATGTCAAACCTCAGTCTGTCTCAAGAATCCAACAGGCATTCCAAAGCAAACCAATGGTTTACAACATTCCAACTCTGACTTTCATGCTATTTGGCATGCAATAAACAAAGTTCATGAAACAACAATATCACTTTACTGCTTCCCTGCTTGCTTTTATTTCTAAAAAACTTTATAAATCTAATTCCAAAACCCAATGATAGGCATGACCTGAAGTTTAAAATACCATGCAGCAGATATCTCCACTGGGCTTTTTCTCTATGAATATAAACGTCATTATTAACTATTTCTCACTTTGTTTTGCAATCAAATTTCTTACCAAGCAATGCAATCACTCTGTTAGTCATTTGGATCAATGTGTTGAAGACATTTTAGATTCCTCCTTCTCACATCACAGTTGCTAAAACCCTTTTGGCTTCTACTACTGTAAAGCTCTGCCACCCATTCCACCCTTTCTACTCCAGCTCTCAAAACCCTGAAGGAACTGTAACTAGGAACACTGCAACAGTCTTTCAACATAACTTCCTGCTTCTAGAATTTTCAAGAAGTGACACACATTTGAATCATATTCTCATCAAAGGAAAGTGCTAACTCAGCTCTCTAGTTCATTGTGGCCAATAGGGTAGTGAACAAAAGATTAAAACAAATATGTTTTCATCTGCTTACTAAATTCCTTGAGTAATTAAATTTGAACTCAGGCTGCCATGTGTTTCTAAGGTTCTTCGTGCAACCCAGAAGCCAAAATCCTGCTTGGCAGGAGGCCTGGGAAGACTCACCCATGTCAGCAGTGACCATAGTAGACTGGTTTTCAGGGATGGACACAGAGGTCTGGTCTTGGTCCATACTTCTAGAGTCCTCATTGACCTCTTGTTGACTCTGGCTGAGCTCTGACCGAAGTTCAGAGTATTCATCTTCCTCCCTGCAAAAGAGAAGAGTCAGCCACCATGGAACCAAATTGGAGTCAGCCACTATTGATAGAGGATATACAGTGAGACCTTGGAAGATAGATATTGGAAGGAAGAAAGAAAGACATTCCAAAAGAAAATGAACAGGTTTCTTATCCAGACTTCAGGAGCTGGGATTCCTTTCAAGCCACACAGATGGTCATATCTAAAATGATATAGTGTATGAAACTTCAATGTCCCTTGTGCATCCACAGCTATGTACTCAACAAGAATTAGGCCTCAGCGCATGAGAAACATTTCCCTTCAAAGATTTCCTAAAGAGGTTAGAACTCTTCATTCCCCTCAAATTATGAGGCAATAAAGAACAAAGTCTACTAACATTGAGGTTACAGTGAACAAAACAATGAAGAATATGATGAACTTCAAATTACACACCCTCATTCCCAGGGTCCAAATGGGGACTTCCCTCCTAGAACTCAACATGGGGAGGTGATAAGCTGGAGCTGCTGAGAAACTTCCTATGTCCAGCTCCAACTAGACCTCTGGGTAGACAGATTGGTCTATTTAAGAAATACCACACTTACATTCCCTCAGAAAAAAAAAAAAAAGAGTGAGAAGGATATATTTAAGGCAAAATTCCATCCAGTGCCCTGTTTCCTTGATTTTTGCCTTGCATTTACAGATTGAAAATCAACACTGAAACACAGCTGCTTCACTCCCATGTGTTCACCCTATCTTGTCTAGCCCTTCATGGTTAGCCAACCTCTGAGTTATGCTATTAGCAAGCAGGAAAGCTTCTAGCTGGAATGTGCACCTCAGAGTGCCTGCCTCCTTGGCTCCTTCATATACCACTACCACACATGCCACATGTGCCACACCCAGACAAAAAGAACAGAACAGAACTCTCTTGGAAGCATCTATTTTGCAAGTGAACCCAAAGACTACATCACCAGGGGATTTCATTGTGGGCATAGAAAGCTCACTAGTGTCTACTTAGTCTGAGGGAGAGGTTATCCATGAACAAAGCTTAGAAGAGAAGGAATTCCCCAGCCTAACACTCATGTTAAGCTGTCAGCAATTAGTGAGGGAATGGAGGGCACCAAGTCTATAGTCCTGGGTTTGGAGTAGGCCAAGATGGTGAGTGGCGTGGGGAAGAGGCAATTGAAGAGATAAATCTACATACGAGATAAATGTGAATATCTGTCTAAAGTTCTTGGTTCTCTCAAAAAAGCAATTTTCTCTTAAGGGATTTTTTTCTGCTTCATGAATGACCTCTGCTATATAAGAGGTATATGAAAACCACTCAGAAACTTGGGAAGACTTTCAACAGTTAGTTACAAACCCAGCTTTATAAAATATCGATTAGAGTGGGAGTGAAAGTAAAAATAAATAGAGGTTAATAAGCTATGAATGTTAATTATTTAGAGATCTACAGAAGTCACCAATAATTAGGTTTAGGCAAGGAAACAATTAAGGGCACCCATCTTATCAGTCACCTTTCATCTAGAGGTTAATTGTGAGCTGATACATCAGCCCTTCTTTTAGTCAGCATTTAAAATTGGCCTGGCAGATTCCGAACGCAGAGTCCCTGCCAAATCTGCTTTATACCAAATTACTTCCAGAGATTAGTAGGAATAACTTCATAAAGGAGTGAATAGGGAGAGGTTATGAGAAGGAAAATATGATGGGAAATATCCCCTCTGGGGTAAGTAGGAAGGAGAATGATATCACATTGGTAATGTCACCTGGGGCTGAAGGGTTTTCATGTCATGAAATGAAAACTAAGGATCCCATTCAAGGCATTGAAGCAACAAGATGAACACAGGACAACAACAAGGGGGCAGGTTCCATCTTCTGAGAGACAAACGTATCCACAACCATTTCTAACCTGAAAAGTGCTGTGAGTGGACACAGGATTGTGTCTCCAGGTTGTGAGACAGAAAGAGCATGCACACAGCCTTCTAGCTAAGAGGTGTGGAGCATGGTGAGGAGCAAGGGGTTTAGCAGAGCTGTCACCAAAGAGAATTTATTTTATGAGAGGAGGCAAAAAAAATAGATGGCAGAAATAAAAGTATGACAAAGGAAGTCTGGGGAGGCATGGCACAGGAGTGAATACAATCAACATCTCATGCTCTAGACTTGGAGCTGGAGTTTCTTTTTACTCAAGAATGCTGTGAAATATGACATCACAAATTAACTTCATGCACATCCATCATTACCATGAAGGTGAAACAAATTGGAAGATGGCTTTGGTGATTGCTCTTTGGTTTTGGTGGCTATCATTCAGTTGTAGTTATTGAACTCATCCTACTTGAGTTGATACGTTTTCCAGTTTTTTAATTAATTCACATTTTATCTTTCTTTCAATGAAAGACAAACCTTCCTGAAATGGTTAATATAAATATAGGAAAGAAATGTATTCCTCTGAATTCTCTTAAAAGAATCGATTACAGGAGGTAGGTGTTGGGGGTACAATGTGGCTTTCTGGACTTTTGTCTCCTATTTCCCATATAGCAGAGAGGAAGACAAAGCTTATTGCTTTCAAGTGAACAATTGAACAAAGGAATATCCTTCCATAGATTCAATATTCCTTTTTTGGTTTTCTTTTCAGACAGGGTTTCTCTGTGTCGCCCTGGCTGTCCTGGAACTAGCTGGCCTTGCATTCACAGAGATCCACCTACCTGTGAAGGGGAGTGCCACTACCAAATGGAACAATATTCCATTCTTAAGATTTGCTATAAGAGCCACAGGGAAGGACTTACAGATACTCTTCAGGGCTTATGTACACCACACAGGAAGACATGGGAAGAGGAATAGGATCTTTCTGGGTTTTATTTCACCTTTTAGGACCTCAATTAACCAGAACAACACACTTTGTCAGTGAGTTAAAGCAGTCTTGTTCCCTGGTTGAGATGCAGCACATGGTTGCCACATGGACTAAAAGATCAGGAAGAAAAGTGGGGTACTGAGGCATCCCTGAAATTCTAGAGGGTAGATGACATCGCAAGAGACAGGTCCATCAGACACCGCCTTGCTCCCAAGGAAGTGCCCTCCTGCAGAGAGAGGTTCAGGGCAGATGAAAAGATAACACAGATGGGGATTTAGTGGCTTTGTTTTCTGCCATTCAAGATGAAAGGTGCCAGCTAGAGATACTCGTCATATGACCCAAGGTTGAGGATAGAACTCCCAGAGGAGGGCAAGGTTCTGCACATGTAGGGTCTCAATCATAAAGACCATCCAGAAGTGATAGATTTTTGGAGCCAATGCTATAAAAGAGACCCAAAACAACAACAGACACTTAAGAGTTTTCTGTTAGAAAGTCATGAGTGGCTGAGCATGGTGAGGCACACCTTTAATACCTACCCAGGAGAGGCCAAAACAACAGGATTGCAAGTTGGAGGTCAGATGTTACGGTCAGTGTCAGTGGGCCTGTGAGGAAGGATGTCCTTCTGTATATGTTTCTCTTATTGGTTGATGAATAAAACACAGTTTGGCCAATAGAGGCAGGAAGATAGGCGGGGCTAAGAGACCAGGAGAATGCTGGGTAGAGAGGTAGAGAGGGTGCACTAGAGGATGCTATGTAGCCACCAAGGGAGTAACAGGCCCAGGCATTCTCTGGTTAATAATTAAGACAGAGCTAGCTAATAAAAAGCCCTAGCCATCAGCCAAGAGTTTAATAATTAATAGCATCTCTGTGTGCTTATTTGGGGCTGAAGGGCAGTGGGACCTGGTGGGACCAGTAACTCCAGCAATAGGCCTGGGCCTGTAGAAGGGAGGTGGATGAGCAACACAGCAAGCAATACCCCTCTGTGGTTTCTGCTTCAAGCTCCTGCCTTGCGCTCCTCCCTTGGGCTTCCCGCCATGGTGAAATTGTAAGATGAAATAAAACTTTTCTCCCCCAAGTTGTTTTTGGTGTTTATCACAGCAACAGAAAGCAAACTAGGACAACCAGCTTGGGCTATAGAGCTAGATGCTATCTCAAAATAAACAAATAATAAATAAATAAATATTGTTGGGCTAGTACGGGAGGCCATGTGCATAGCATGTGTGGGGCTTTGGGTTTAGTCTCCAGTATTGCAAAAGAGAAAAGGGGAGGAGGGAAGGAAAGGAGGAAGAGAAGGAAGGAGCGGGAAGGAGATTTAGGGAAAAGAGAGAAATCATTAGCATCTTATGCTGCTCAAGCTGCCAAAACAGAATACCACAGACTGGGTGGCTTAAACAACAGAGATGTGTCTTCTCACGGTTCTGAAGGCTGGAAAGCCCAAAAGCATTGCTAGCATGGTTACTTTCTGGAGGGGTCCTCTTCCTGGCTTACAGATGGTTGCCTTCAAGTTGTGTCATCACATGGCAGTGAAGGAGGGAGGCGGATCACACATACCAGCTTTCTGGCCTCCCTTTTTATGAAAGCAGTTCCTGCCATGACAGCCCTACCCTCATGAGTCCATCTGACCCAAATCATCTCCCACAGGCCCATCTCCATACATCACACTGGTGATGAGCAGATGAGGGAAGGCAAATTTCAGTCCATAGAAAACGGGGCTCGGGGAAACTGCTGGGGCCAGCAGGCAAACATCAGCGAGCTCAGAGTGAATGAGAAACAAAGCAAAGAACAACAGTGAGCCAAGAAGGCTAACAGGGAAAGGTTAATGTTACAAGAGTTGCTTATGGGAAAGAAAAGATCTCATGTTTCAATTTGCTCAGACATCATTCCTTTTCTTTTTGGACCCAAAGGGTTCTGTGGTCATGTTTTTTTTTTTTTTTTTTTTTTTTTTTTTTTTTTTTTTTCATGTTTTTTTATCCCATTATAAATTTTCCCCAAGTTACCAGGCAGTGGTAGCTTTAATCCCGACACTTGGGAGGCAGAGGCAGGCAGATCTCTGTGAGTTGAAGGCCAGCCTGGTCTTCAAAGCTACCCAAAGAAACCCTGTCTCAAAAAAAAAAAAATCTCCCCAAGTCAAACATATTTACAAAGGCACTTATAATACACTGTGAAGTGAAAGAGCACATATTAAAGAACCATGTATGTCTGTGTGGCACATGATCCAGTATGTTTATAATATCCACTAGAAAGTTTCAGGACACGTACACAAAATGTTTAGTGTTCTAAGTGAGACTTAGCGTCCATTTGGCAGGTATCAGTTAGCAAAATAAACAGTACTAAAAGATTCAAACAGACAGTGTTGCATTCAGTCAGGCCTGTGCTTGCAAGGCTGGAACAAGAATGGAGAAGACAGAGGTGGGTGGGTGGCGGCCACTAGGTTGGCCACCCCAGCTCTGCTCCCCCAGAAATCAGGCACCTGTTGCTACATACCTGTCCAGAACTTCATGTCTGGCCAGTCAAGGCAGACATCTACATTGCATATCTTCTGCCACAATCATGACCTAGAGTGAATGGTTAATGCCTCTACTTCCTCCCAGACCCTTCATCACTAGACTGAAAACTATCCAGCTGGGAAGGGAGTCTGGGAAGTAGCCCCAGGACCCAGAATGCCTTTGATTTGGGGAAAATGGAGGCAGAACAGGGAATAATACTTGCATCTTGAGATAGCCACTACAGTCTACACACGATGACTTCTCAGTGACCACCCAATAAGTCTTCTTGATGAGTTAAATTTCTCAGCCACAACAGTAATAGCATCAACCTTCTGTAACTGTCCCTCTGGTCAATGAAATGAGTTCAGCTGCTCCTCAAAATGGGAGACCCACTACAAGTGTCATCGGCTACTGTATCTACTGTCAGGGGGCCTCCTCAAGACAGTGGCAAACCTGACTAGACATTATGAAACCTAGCCACCAAATTACAAGTTTTACCAATTCACCACATACAGGTGGCAGAAAATCAAGAGCAGAAACAAAATGCATACATATACAAAACTAGAAGAACGTTTAGATATCTTCTGTACTGGTCATGAGGCTGGAACTGTCATTTATTATTAAAACTCCTTTTTTTTTTTTTTCCTACTAGGGAATCTGTTTCTTCTGGTTTGGACAGCAGTTCACTTAGTTAGACTTAGTTGTTTCTTTGTTTTTAGAGATTTATTTATTTTATGTGCATGAGTGTTTTGCCTGCAGGTACATATATGCACCATGTAATATGTTCCTCGTGCCCATGGAGACCAAAAGCAGGTATCAGACTCCCCAAACTGGAGCTGCTTGTGCTATGAATCATCACATAGCTTCTAGGAATGGAATTCATGTGCTCTGCAAGAGCAGCAAGTGCCCTTAACCACTAAGCTACCTCTCCAGCCCACAATTAGTTTTTCTTACCTAGTAAAGCAGTCCAAAAATCTTTATTCTTAAAAGCCCTACCCCTGTATTAGCTTACTCTGATCTATTAACTCTAACAGCTCACGATTTCTAGGCCGTAGCCTAGCAATGTCTGCCTCACCTGCCACTCCAGCCTACGCAATAACTACTTTCTCTTTGTAGTTCAGTGGCATTCTAAGAAACATTAAATGCTGGTCTTTTCTGTCCAACAATAGAAAGCCTATTAAGGACAAGGGATTTAAGTCTTCTTATCTCTCCCACCTTGGAAGACTTTTATGCAAATCTTTTTATCTCTCCCCTTTTAGGCCTTTATGCAAATGTTTTAACATCTCTACCCAGTAACACTCTTATGTACCCTCCCCTTCCTCCCTTCCTTCATCTCCTTTGCTTTGAATATTGTAAAGTAGCCAATGCTGAAGGAGCATGAGGTCAGATCCAGGACAAAGGAGCAAAGACAGTTACCACCTGTGTGCTCTTCATGTCCCACATGGTTACCCACCCCATTTAGCCTCTGATTCATTCTTTTTGTAAAAAACAGTTTCCTCACTGAGCTGCCTTTGCTTTGTTCATACATTCCTTTGTGAGACACTGACACAAGATTATTGTGTTTCTAAGAGCATGGACACTATAAGGGCCATGTGGTTAGCTGTGGCACCATTATCATATTCTTTATGTTCCCTTAACACTTGTCAACTAGGAGAGCTCAATGTTGCAAGGATGAAAAGCAAACATTTTTTGATGTGGGTTTTTAGATGCATAACTAAGAAGAGAATTCAAAGTCATATGAGGAGGAGGACATACACAACCCTTACACTACTTTGTTTTAAAGATTAAAAAAAATATGTATATGGGTGCTCTATCTGCATGGACAACTTTATGCCAGAAGGGGGCATCGAATCCCACTATAGATGATTGTGAGTTACCATGTGGTTGCTGGGAATTGAAGTCCCGGAAATGCATCTAGAGCTCTTAACTGCTGAACCATCTCTTGAGTCCTCCACTACTACTACTTTCCCTCTTTATCCTTGGATATCAGAAAAAGAATACAAACAGATACTGGGGTAGGTCATAGCAGTTAAACATTGATCTACCCTGTGTTGTTCCTGAGCTGAGGCTGCCACAGCAGATCAGGGTCAGGTCGAGGAAAAATACAATTCCTGGAGTACTGGAGGCCACACCTTGGCCTATGGAGCTCAGAGGCCAGGAAGAACCTATCTCAGTGGCCCACATGTTATAACCTGGCCAGGAGTCCCCTCAAGGAGGAACTAGCTAGCTTATTTACATAATGAAAACAGGTAGACAGTAATGTGGCATCTACACAGATGCAATCTTCCTTTACATCAGAGGCACAAATACATGTTTATGGTCAAGCAGCTCACAGGATATGCAAGTGAAGCAGTCAAGCCACTGGCTACCATTTAAACATCTTGAGATTGAGTTGTCCCCTTGATATCTATTGTGCTTATTTCAAACTGACTATACCCATTCACTGCTACCTTCTCTAGTTTTTAAAAGTGTAACTCATTTTTAATGGAAATCACCAATTTGCCAATGTACTCTGTTGGGCTCTTTGAAATCTACTAGAATCACATCTTTGGACTAAAATCTTTTCTTTGCTCATGTATTTCTAACCCACAATCATTGTGTAGACCAGGATACAATTTTAAAACCTTAAGGTTCTAAATTAGAATATGAAATTTATTGTGCAGTTCCAAGTCAGTGTAAAATTTTCCATGGTTCTGCCCAGGAAACAGATGCCCGTCAGCACCCTCACCAGGAAGCCCCATCATTACTGGGACTCTCACAGTTGGAACAAAATCCATCTAAAGTCTTTTGTGAGCCAGAACTTCTCCAGGGAGAATTCAGAGCAGCTGCCTCTGATATTCTTTCAATTATGGTTTATTTGAATGCCTCATAAACACAGAAGCCTTTGTCCAGGAACGTAGGTACTAACCACTGCTCTCTCTGTGTGGGGATGCTCCCAGTCCATCACAGTGAGCTCCTCAGCCAGTCTCCCTGAATCTCGAGCAGATGCAGGGAAAGGAGCACTGTGTACTGCAGACTCAGGAGCCAAATGGACTGATAAGCCAGGGAGGCAGAGTCCCTAAAAGGCATCTTCAGGAAAACAAAACTAATCAAAATAGAGTCCCTGCTCCAACTCTGCCTCTCTTCTCTGCTGAATGTAAGCAGTCTCCATCAGTACTTCTTTTATGCCTGCCTTTCTCACCAGTAAACTGATGCCCAATCCTTTCCTCCCAGTGAAGGGATGGGGTAAGCCTTGCCTTGGGTATCTGGTAAGAGGATAAGTGTCACCATTGATATACAACTTGGGATAAGCTCAAAATATTAACAGATTATCTAGAATCCCATACAACACTTAGCTTTAAGCCATATCCATGAGTCTCAGAAGCACTAAGAGAGGCAGGAAGTCTGGAGAAGACCTGGTATACAATGGAGCCATGAAGGAACATCAGACTGCTCTCTCTCTTGGACAGAGCAGCACCTACCTAGAACTCATTAATAAAGCATTTTACTTGATTGCTGATTCTATAGCCTTAGCAATAAACTGGGGATCACAACTCCCACCCTGTCTACCTGCTGAGGTGCTTGTGAGGATCAGAATCAGAAGGGGATAACAAAGATCAAGGCATATGGCTGGGACTGAGGACTCATGGGGCTGCTTCAACTCCAGCCTACCCAGGACAAGCATAGGCTAGATGTGGCAGCCATACCTGATGGTGGTGCCTTGCAGGCGGTCTATCTTCTTGTTGAGCTCTGCAATGATGCTGTGGAGTTCTGTGATGCGCTCCTCATAGCGAAGTGTCGTGCGCTCCTGGACATCTTCATGCTCTCTCATGAGGTGTGACTGCTCACACTAGGACCAAGAACACAGGACAGAAGACAGACATGTGGTTGTGTTGACGTGCCTTTTGGAGAATGATTCTGCATGTTATGGCTTCAAGCCATTGCTCTCAACACTGGTATGCCCCAAATAAGATACTCACCTGCTCCAACGTCACATTAACCCTTAAAGCCCCAATTAAAATTTACAGTGCCTCGGGAGGAGACACAGGGCTTTGCCTTTCTTTTCCTTCACTCTGCCTCACCCTCTGCAGAGTCCCTGTTGGCTCCTAACTAAGAACTTAACCTAACAGGCATGAGGCTGTCAGATTCTGAATCTTGAGTAAATGCCTCTAAGTAATGCACCTAAGTTTACAGAGTTGATTCATCCACAGCCTTGAAGGTCAGTCTCTTACTTCCCTCTACCAGTCTTCTTCATTTTCTACAGTAAGCTTCAGTTACTTTTCAACCCAAAACAATAAGTGGTGTATAATGGGTGTTTTGGTGGGGGTTGGGGACTCATTTATGATATCCAATATCCTTCTTCAAACTATAAACTCCCAGAAGGCAGACACTAGATATTCCATTATATATCCCTAGCCACCTCCCCCACCCTGGTGGCATATGGCCCAGCTCACTGTGGGTGATCTAGAAGTGTTATGAAATGAGTAAATGGCAATGTGTCACAGCCATGAAGGCTACTTTATAGAAATAATGACAAAAGAGGACCGGAAGCTTCCCTGTGCCTATGTACTGACGGAGTAAAGAATCAGTGCATGCTATGAAAATACATTTGCAGAGGGAATTTAAACCATAAGGAACCAGTCCCCTGTTAGTTCTCTCTACCCTCCTCAATCCCCCTTAGGCAGTGGCAGCTGATCTCATTTACATAACAATAAAAAATCCTAGGTGATGGAACAAGTGGTCTAGCTTGGCCTTGTCTGTTCTACTCAGTGGTTATTAATTTCCTGTCCAGCAGGGAAATTTAATTTTACTTTCAAAATGGCTTTCCAAATGCCAAGAGCCATATGTGCTCTCCAGCCAGCTCTGCAGGTGTGCATTTTGAGGCCTGTGGCAGGGAAAGGGGAAGGTTTCTTACCCACTAGTTCATTCCTATACCCTCCCTTCCCAAATCTGCTACATTTCCAATGCTATCACCTAGGGCAGGGACCTGGGGACCCTCAGAAGTCTGGAAATGCTTCGGTGGGCAAGCAATGTCTTTGGATGCTCTACCACAGACCTTCACAGAAGAGCTGCTTTCAGAAGAACACTGATGTGAACGACTGTGTTCCATGATAACCCCCACTCCAAGTAAAGCCACTGGAGTC